GGGGCTTAGATGTTTAGAGAAATGAAGGTTGAGTTGACATTGTAGTTTATTTAAGTTGCTTTCGCAGCAATCGTCCTGACTGCTTTCTCCTCCCGTTTCTGGTGCATCTATAATTGCAATTTCTGAAAAATTTTTTGGATTATGAGCTTTTAAGAGGCAAAATGATTGAAAATGGCATTTTGGACACTGTTCATAGATTTTCTGAGAAAATCTATCTTATCTCTATTTTAGTTTGATAGCTCTATCTGTGCATAGATCTCGATGCCAAGTAACTGTTGAAGTGTTGCGCTTTTCATGAGTCGAATGTCTCTGCGGGGTCTGTTTAGCATTCTTATAACCTTTCTCTGGAGCTGTTGACTTAGCCTTTTGTAAAATTTTCCGTTTTTTTCTCTGTACTAATTTTTTGTGCACCACTCACTAAATCACTTAAACACCCTTTAAACTCGTGAATCATAGGTTGTTCTCTAATTGAGGAGGATGGACAGTGTCTCTGACGATACATCACTTTGAATGTCTATTCCTCTTTCACCGAGGCCTATTTGAACAAATATTGTCATGCATTTGCTATTGCTAACGCATTCAGATTTTATTTTCAAAAGTAGCACCTCTAAATACCATTTTGCTAGTGGAGGGGATTTCTTACTTTTGCATCTGGTGCTTGTTAAATGTTGCACGTGGTTTTTCTTTACGATGAATACCAGCGAAGTTCGTAAGAAGAGTACTTTACTAACTCTAAGCCGAAGGTATGGCGATGATGGGCGTTATAACATTCAACTTGATATTTTCCCCTCCTTTAGGATGGCATATTTGTTCAATTTGGACCATTTAACATTATTCAAATAGGTACGAATAACCAAGACTTCAAATTCTAATGTCCTGCAGCGCAATATGCACAGTTAGATCCTCATCTCGTTTGGGCATGCAGAATTTGCATACATTTCAGGATGAAGGAGGCGGACATTCCTTCTGCTCAACGCTTGATCGCCCTCGCGCCGGTACAGAAGCGGTACAATCCGGAACCTCCAATTCTGCAACTGATGTTGGGGAACCACCCTGTGAAGCAAATCAAAAAACTCTCCCAACTCCCATTCTCACCTCCACCACTTAAGACTTGGGATCCTGCACTCCGTATTAACTTTTTTGCTCTCCTTGTAGATACCCCTCTTATTCTGTTTTCATTTATCTTCCTTCTCATTTGTACATCCTAATTTGTTCCCCCCTTGCCTATATCACACACTCGTTCATTTTATTCCACTTGAGAAATTTGCACTCATACTTTAACCGAAAAACGTGCACAGAAAACAAATAGAAAAAAACACGTGCAGTTGCAGTGATAGTGACGAGCAGGTGCTTACTGTCTTTCATTTCTCTTCATCTCTCCTCCTTCGAGTAAGCGACCTCTGCCGTCACCATGAAATCAAAAGGTAGTCTCAAAAGCTGTGCTCATACCTCGTCCTCTCCTAGGTTGCTGATTACGCTCTCCTTCTTTATCCCCCCAAACCGGAGTCTTTCAGTCTTTGGGATGACTGTGATAGACGCTGAGACAGAAGTGAATGCTGTGTTGTTGGTGAATCGTATAATTCCTCCTTTTTCTTCCCTCTCCTTCCTCGTCTGTCTGTCAAACTCCGATCCAGAAAGTCTTATTTTGCCTGCAGATGAGACTACCCTAATGTATTTCTTCTAAAAGTACATGTTAAGGCAGCCTTGTTTCTACCGTCGGCCGCAACACATGGCTGGAACCTTTATGTGTCTCTCTGTCTATGTCTCCATGTTCTCCCTGCTCTCTACCTCACGCTCACATTACTTAAAAGCCAAAACACGCACGTACACTCGCCTTTCGTTTTAGGAGTCACACTGTTCGAATGTAACGGAATCTTAGCTTGATAGGGGTTTGGGTGCATCCTCTTCAACTGTCACTCCTCTCAGAGGCAATTTTGAAGCGGTTTAAAAGTTGTTTTAACTAGTAACGGTTTCTATCGGACGGCCTTCGTTGTCATAGGTAGACACTTTCTCGTCCCAATTTTTGGAATGAGTGAGCATTGCCACTGCTAAAGGTGAGGGTGCTGTATCTGTTTTTTTGTTTGGCTTCCATATTCACGTTGGAAAGAGTAGA